GAACCACATTCCTGTCTGATGCTCAGAATATAAATCTGTCAGAGGAGCTTTCGGAAGAGATTTTGGCCGKGGAGTAATGAAGTGAAGGAACTGTAGGTGAGTACAGATGACTTAGTAAACTCACCTAATGGCTGATTGGGGAATTAGCAGCACCGGGGAAATTTGGAGTGAAACGTTCCCTGAACTTTCCCTGTGACTGTGCCACTCAAGTTCCCTGAATAGCACATTTCCTTACAATTAATGGAGATGCTGTGGAAAAAAACAAGTCTTGCTTTATGGCATTTTGTCCATCTTGTGCAAAGCTCCTTCCCTCTTGCTTCCCCCTAGCTTTGGGTGAACTGAGAGTTGTGCTGGTTAASAGTTTGTACAATGCCCCAAATGCCACTGTGATGGGGTAGGAAAGGGTGAAAAACCAACCAGGCTCTTTCCACTGAAATTCAGTCTCAAAGGGCAAGCAGTGCTCAACAAAAGCTGTGTCAGCTTGGAAAGTCAGAGTTTAAAACACAGGAACAGGTTCTTTTTGTACTCCAAATTCTCCACTCCAAAGGAGATCTGAGATTTAATTGATTTAAAGTAAAGCTGGATTTATTTCATTAAAATGGAACCTGATTTGTTTCTAGTTGAGAGGATAACCTTTATGACCTTAAAATAAATGGAAAAAAGATGGCAAAGATGTCATTTTACTTCATAAAGCCTGAGTACCCTATGTTGATACACAGAGCAGCAAAGAGGAAAATATTCTGCCTTTTCTACTGTRTTGCTCAAAGATTTTCAAATAATCAAACACAATCAAAAAATAAACAGTCATTCTGAAAATTAACACTGTGATATAATTTTCTTTTTGAGTATCTGTTTATTTGTCTTCTTTCCCACCACCTTTTTTATCTCATTTCCATATCTTTTCATTCCTTGTTCCCTGTATTTTCACTCATTTCCTTAATCCAATGCCCACTGAGTCCCTCTGTTCATTTTCCTGCTCCTTTACTCTTATTAATTCTCCCCACCCAACTGTTGCCTGGGTTAACTATTCTGGTTAAGCAATAGGACTGGAAAAGCCAGCACTTATTTTGAGAAGACCTTGTGGGGAAAGAGGATTCATACTGCAATCTCAGGTGAGGGTCTAAACATTTCCCAAATTCTCTGACCCCTAAATATGAATATCATTTGACTTTGAATAATGAGCTATTCGTTCATCTCTATATAAAACTTCATGTATCCTGACAGTTCCCTATTGCCTTCCTGTCTGAAGTGGCTCAGGAGTATAAATTATTYTAGCGAAGGTTGGCAGTAATTTATGCTCAATAAATTGACTATAGATCTGCTTGTTTCAGTAGGTAGCATGGGAAGGACTTATACATTTTGCTAAATTCCCTCATTTGTTCTCGGACAGACTGCTCGCTGTCCTGGGGCTGCTCATGAGYCCTGAACCTCTGTGATAGGCAGGCACTCTTATGCCTTTAGTAAAACTACTCCTGTGAGTAGCAAGTTACTGGTGTGAGGAAGAGGGATCTAGGCTGGCTGTTGGAAAGTCGCTGGCACAACAATGTGGAAACTGGAGGTCATATTTTGCAATATATGTAAAGGGCAATGGATGAAACAGCAAAGGCTGTTGTTAAAAAAATCCCCCTCACTTTAACAGGCAGAAATTTATTGTTTCTCTTTAGATTGATTTTTCCCACAAGAGCATGAAACAGCCCATGTAGTCTTTAGTTTTCTTTCTTTTTTCTTTCATTTTTTTTTAATGTAAAATGGACTAGTTCCTTTGTAGGACTTCTGCTGAAAAGGGTGATACAATTCTTTTGTCCAAGATGCAAAAAGCAGAAAGTAATTCATCACCTTTCAAGTACAATTTATTATGGGTCAGGGAGAAAGGTTTCACTCATGGTCATTAGGTTTCAGCAGTGCAGATGCTGGACATGATGAACCAATGAGGCTTATCAGGTGTGATAATCAAAACAGATTTCCTTTTGTATCTGCTCTCTCTCTCAGAAATACCTAGGTTTCAGACACTGACTATGATTTCATAGATACAGACATAGTCCTTTATTGTTCTGTGTGGAAATTATCACCTGATATTTTAAATCAGAGTGCTGGAAATGAATAAGATGCCTGAGGTTTGATGCCAGTTTTGAACTTGCCTTCCTGGGCCCCACRTGAGCAGCAAGGGCAGATTCTCCTGCCTGGCACAGGCACAGGCACTGCTCTTCTCCTTCCACAAGTGCCTGGAGCTGCAGCAAAGCTTTSAGTGGGGCAGGCACATTCATTCCATGGCCCACGTGTGGTCAGGCTGGTGACCTGGCATGAAGGGTATGAACAGAAACTCAGGGCCAGGTCCTGCTGTGAACACTGCCCAGGCAGATCCCTGAGCAGTTTCACTGTAGGCAAAAGTCTTTGTGTGGCTGCAAGTAAAAATCTGGCTTAGGTTAATCAACATAATTAAAGGGCCAGCCTTGCACTGTGGTGTTATTCTGGCTCCATGGAGTTACCGAAAATGTGTCTGATGAATTCAGGGAATTCACGGTGCCACCTCTTCCATACAGTCCAGCTGTAATCAGCTTTGCTTTGCAGTTTTATAAACTTTGCTGAGAGCACCTCACCCCTTARCAGCTTCCCAGCATCGTGAGGTGATCACACACCGAGGGAAATGGGAAAGCAAAACACACACTGAGGGGGTTTGCTGACAGTGTGCTTTCTGTGCTTGTCAGTCGTGTAAACTGAGGCAGCAATAGCTCCAGGCACCTCAACSAGCCCAGATCACCGTGGGGCAGAGGCAGACACAGATTTTCTGACACCTAAGAGCTAAACTCTGCAGATTGGTATTGAAACCTCTGAGTTTCCCCAAAGGCAAACTCTGGTGTACTAGATACTTCTGTGCATCTGTATCACTAAGTCTGTTGAAAAATTTTCCCATGAGGATTGAATTTACATATCTGTACACACACACACACACACACACA